CGATGTCTGTTGGCCTCATGGCGTCGAGCTGCTCCGTCCTTTTCCGTGACTTTGCTAGGTCCCAGAAATTTGGATGATCTCTGGCTTCCTGGTATCAGCGTTCTGACCCACATCGTTGAACTTGTACAACGATACGTTATTGTGGCCAAGGAGATTGACACATCCTTGTTAGCAACTTGATTGAGAATCCTCCAGAACGCAGAAAACTAAATTTGCCCTTACTTTTGCTTTGAAATCTTGCCAGGACATTCTGCTTTGGACAGGGGTCTAGCACCATCTGGGCGTAGCCTCGGCCTCTCCCTCTTGCCATCCGCATCAAAGCTTCATCGCCGGAACATTCGCACTTCTAGTAGCAGCTAGTAGCGGGCCAGTAAGCGTCATGGCACGTGACTAAGGAACCTAGCCCCCTGTTGGAGTTTCTACCCAGCCATCTTGGGCCAGTTCAAAGCTTTTTTCAAAGAGCTCAATTTTTTTAAAACCAACGGGTACTAGCAAGGGCTATTGGCACAGCCGCCAATTTTGGGAGGTGTGAATAGAGAGCCCGCCCTGCTTTCCACAGCAGGAAACCAGATCGTCGCACCGGGGTCGCGTCACTGTAGTAGATGGGCTACAACACATGCACACTCATGCACCCTTCACTAGTCGGGAGTTGTGTACTCTGGCCAAATCCTCCTCGCATCTGTGACATTACCACGGTAGACACTGACACTCACAATTTTACAACAAGAAAATTACGTATTAATACCACATGAGTTCTGATGTTGCAAGTAAAAAGACAGTGAAATTACAATGGGAGGTGTAGTAAAACAAACAAATGTAAAAAAATAAAATATTACAATTTTTCCTTAATTTCAGGAAGCCTGCAATATCTCATGTCTTCTGGATAATCACCTAGTTTAAAGAGCTAGCAGGAAATCATAAATTCCCGAACACTTCCTCGAGAGCGAACAAAATAATTCCCTCTCTATATATATATATATATATATATATATATATATATATATATATATATATATATATATATATATATATATATATATATATATATATATATATATATATATATATATATATATATATATATATATATATATATATATGAGAGGACTTATTTTGTTTCGCCTTTCGAGGTAAGTGTTCGGGGATTTATGTATTTTCCCTGCTAGCTCTTTTAACTGGTGATTAATCCAGAAAGATCATGAGATATGCAGCTTCCTGTAAATTAAGGAAAATTTGTTAATATTTTTATTTTTTTACATTTGTTTGTTTTACTTACACCTCCATTGTAATTTGCACTGTATTTTTACTTTGCAACATCATGAACTCATGTGGTATTAATACGTAATTTGCTTGTGTAAATTGTGAGTGTCAGTGTCTACCGTTGTTAATTGTCACAGATTGAGAGGAGGATGCCAGAGTACACAACTCCCGATCTAGTGAATGGGTGCATGAGTGTGCATGTGTTGTAGCCCATCTACTACAGTGACGCGACCCCGGTGCGACGATCTGGTTTCCTGCTGTGGAAAAGCAGGGCCGGGTCTCTCTATTCACACCTACAAACTGCGGCTGCTCCCTGCTCGTACCCGTGTATTGAGCTCTTTGAAAAGCTTTGAACTTGCAAGATGGTGGGTAGAAACTCCAACAGGGGCTAGGTTCCTTCGTCACGTGCCATGACGCTTACTGGCCCGCTACTAGCTGCTACTAGAAGTGAGAATGTCCGGCGATGAAGCTTTGATGCGGATGGCAAGAGGGAGAGCACGAGGCTACGCCCAGATGGTGCTAGACCCATGTTCCAAAGCATAATGTCCTGGCAAGATTTCAAAGCAAAATTAAGGGCCAAATTTAGTTTTCTGCAGTTCTGGAGGATCCTCCATCAAGTGCTAACAAGGATGTGGTCAATCTCCTTGGCCACAATACCCGTATCGTTGTACCAAGTTCAACGATGTGGGTCAGAACGCTGATACCAGGAGCCAGAGATCCTCAATTTCTGGGACCTAGCAAAGTCACGGAAAAGGAGGCATCAGCTCCTGAGCCATGAGGGCCAACAGACATCGCGTAGTCAGCTTGATCGCAACCAGATACCGCATTGAAGTCCTGAGCCCCAGCTGTCGCCAACCCAGAGGATCCCACAGCCCGCCGTACTTGCTGGGTGGGAGGGACTGTAGCCATCCCCCCAGCCCCAACGACTAAATGGGTGCCAATATGGTTATCTTGGGAAGGCAGACTCCACACAGCCGCCCATTAACCCCAGGGGGCACAGGGGCAGGAGTTAGTACGAAGCCAGCGCGTGTCCAAATGCCGGTGGGCCATGACTCCGTACTTTTAGAGCCTCCTGCTGCTGCAAGAGCCTCCACAGTTCAGCCTAGGACCGCAAGGTACCTAGTTTCCATGGATGGCCACGAGGAGGCAGGGGAGTCTTATGCATAGCTGCTCCCTTTCGCACCAGGCTAGACAGCGGTGGCAGCTGAAAGCAAGAAGGCATGCAAAGCGCTTAACACTATCTAGGCTACGCTTCACATACACACACACACACACACACACACACACACGCACACACACACACACACGCACACACACACACACACACACACACACACACACACACACACACACACACACACACACACACACACACACACACATAAACACACACACACACACACACACACGCACACGCACAGGCACACGCACACACACGCACACACAACACACACACATGCACACACAACACACACACACGCACACGCACACACAACACACACACACAACACACACACATGCACACACAACACACACACACGCACACACAACACACACACACAACACACACACATGCACACACAACACACACACACGCACACACTATAATAGAAGAAAGGCAAATGACAGAATATCTCGGTTCTTCTTTTTTATTTTCCTACTGACATAGCTGAAAGTCACAATTTGAGTCTATTATAAATTGAATTTAATGACATTCCATAGACTGAATAATTGGCGTTACTATAGGTGTGATGTAATCTACTGTAAGATTGAATATGCAAAGAGTGACTTAGATATGAGACATGAGATGCTTCTTCGTGCATCCTTGCACACCTCATTTTTTTATTCCACAAAAAGCATGACTTTAGAATACTCCAGGTATCATTCTGTATGGTACAACTTTGCTATACTTAACCCAAGCAGCGCCGTACTTTACCCTACACTTTTCTTCATCCCTGAAAACACGATGTACCAGCAGAACTGTTAGGAACAGAGCATAAAGAAAAGGCCAGATTCCATAACCAAAACCTGGCAAACACCATGAAAAGGCCGCTAAAATCTCAAAGACATAGTTCAGGTGCCTCGCAATACCCCAGAATCCTGATGTGAGAAGTTTTGATTGTCGAATACCTGAGGAACTCTCATAAGTTGCATTGATGAATGTGGCTTGGTAACCCCAAATGTAACACTTGCCCTTGTGAGCACGAAAGTATTCTTTCTCCCAGTCTACACGGTAATTAAGCGCAATAAAAACTATTCCTAAAAGTAATATCAAGATAGCGGCACTGTTTGAGACAAGGGGTGGATGTGCCACCAGGTAATAAGAGGAGTAAGTGTAGAATGCCGGTACGAAAACTAAACAACCCCAACAGATGTAGTAACCTGCCCGATCTAGAGTGATATCAAGTGTGTCAAAGTACCCAGTTTCCCACCAATAAAACTTGCCTAGATAGATCGTCTGGAGGGTAGCACAGGATAAGTGTGCCAAGCTAAAGCCATGCTTGATCCAACCTGCTACAAAAAAGGCCACAACCAGAAGTTCCCACGCCAGGAGACCAAAGCGACAATTAGTCAGTTGTTTGACATCTACTCCAAGCAGACGAGGGTGTACTTCCATCCCCCGATAGAATTCATAAAGGATTGGTCGGGACTCCAAAATTTCGTTCGTTTGTGGAGAGACCTTTCCCTTCACCAGCAAGTACACACACAATAACATCGCAAGAATATTGCACGATGCCAAAATCTGTAAGAGATAAGGGAAAAAGTTTAATATGTGATATTCAGTTCACTAATACTTTATACAGTTAAGGTAATAGTCAACAGAACAGTTCACTGCCAGTTACCCTTTTACACTGCATTAATTGTAAACTTAATACCATTCCAACTTACCTGTGGCATGTTTTCTGCGAGCTCAACAGCTGTGACAGGTCTATAGAACAGGAGTGCAAGGAAGACAGTCAGGGAAAGTAAAAAAAACTGGAAACCATTGGCCTTATATCGTGGTGTGTACCCCAACTGAGTGGTAGGACCCAGGAACTCTTTGCCAGGAATCTACAAATACAAGAAAACATTGACTTGCTTCATAGTTCGGACACTATTTGATTTGGAAGTTTGGAAATTACCTAATGAAACTTGCACTTTATTTTCAGCAGAAGTAGTACCGAAAAGTTATTTGATTTTCCTTTAGGGGACATTTTTCTTCCGTTATTCTATGAGTCAATTGTATATGAATACCCCATTTTGTGAATATTTGCAAATTACATAATCTGAATAAGTCGAAAAAACATGTTCCTTGTTGTGCAATTTGTTTATATTAAATAGAACGAAGGCAAAACTCAGTGTAGTAGCTGTAAGGAGCTCTAAAATCATAAAGGCGGAAAAGGAGCCTATGTACATAAAGTAATAAACATAAACACATTTACTTACATGAAATTATATTATTGATATTTTTTTCACAATAGCACCAAATCTTGTAACACAGGCTTACTAACCATGCATAACATTTATTTTTGTAAGTGTTGTTCGTGCTCGTGTTCGTGTTCGTGTTTGTGTTTGTGTTGGTTAATAATAACGATAATAATGATAAAATAATATTGATAATAATAAAAACAGACACAAATATTACAGCAATAATAATGATTATGATAATAATAATAATAACAATATATACATAAGAATACAGTAATAATGATAAATAAAACAATAATAATGATGATGATGATGATGATGATGATGATGAT